AATACTCAGTACGGAAGATTTAATATTGTCAGGTTTGGGGTAAGAATTGTTTCAACCTAGGAAAAAAATAATATGTTGCAAGTCAGGAAAAAAGGAACTTTTGCTCATTCTTGGTTTAATTTTCTCGTTAAATTCCTTCAAATTCCTTTGACGAACTGAAGAGGTATTTCAATGTAGAAAAAATATTTTGTGCTTTATTGTGTTTAATCTGGGTATGTCGACGATACCAAACTTCTCATGTCATTTCAACTCCGCGATCAACGATAGAAAAAATGAACAAGGACTTGTTAAGCATTAGGAATTGGTGCTTTGATAATCAGCTTTTACTCAACCCAGATAAAACAAAACTAGTGATATTCGGCAGCCGGCAAATGACTGCTAAGGTTAGCGACTTTAGGCTATTTCTATTGGGGAAGGAACTCGAGCCCGTTAAGGCTGCAAGAGACCTTGGTGTTACACTGGACTCTAACTTAACATATAATGAGCATATTGTTTCTACTGTATCCTCATGCATGTCACGTTTGGGCCAAATTAACCGCGTTAAGCATATTTTTAATAAACACGCGCTAATTATTATTATAAATGCCTTAGTATTTAGTAAATTATTCTATTGCTCTTCTGTTTGGAGCAATACTACTCAAACTAATCTGGACAGGCTCCAAGCAGTACAGAATTTCGCTTGTCGTATTTTGAGCGGCGCTAAAAAATTCGATCACATAACTCCTTTGCTAAAAGACTTGCGCTGGCTACCAATCAGGCAACAACTTTATTTTCGTTTTGCTGTTCTGGTTTTTAAGTGCATAACGAGTTGCGCTCCGGAGTATTTGACATCAAAGCTCGTTGGAAGATCCGCCGTCTCGACAAGGAATACGAGAAATTCTCAACTTTTGAACATACCACTCTTCCGCACTGCCAGCGGCCAAAGGACCTTTCAATATAGAGCAACCTCTCTCTGGAATGAGTTGCAGCCTGCGCTCAAACTTAGCCCATCCGTGACGGAATTCAAGTGTTTACTCAGGCAAAAGCTTCTTAATGACTGCTTTATTTAATTAATTTAATTAATTTTATTGACCTTTGTCTTCTTTTATCATTGTTATATTCTTATTGTCATGTACTTGGTTTGTAATTTTGTAATGTAAAATTGACTCTGAAAAGCCCCGTGGGGACGAGCCAATAAAGTATGTATGTATGTATGTTGTACATATACGTTTATCTCAAAAGACCATTTCTGAGTTGCCAAAAGTCTCTGTTTCAAAGCGAGGCTAAATGCGAAAATGAATTTTTATTGTCGTGCAGTTAACAAGAAAAGTTTTGCACTTAGCTTCGTTTTGAAAGTGAGAGTCTTTAGAATTCGGAAATGCCCCAAGTTTCATCTTAAAATCACCTGAAAGAAATATACCTTTGATCAATTCATCATTTAGTTGTGCTCGGACGCATTATCCGTGTCAGCAACCGAATACTTTTCATGACAGGAGTAAAGTAATTTTACTCAGCAGTTCTTTTCTTTGTTTTTCAGTGTGCTACTAATGGAGTTGTCCCCGTTGAATCTTGGTCTTAAAGTTTATGTTTTTATACTCGTCCTTTCACTTGCCAATCTCGTAAAAGGTAATTCAACCATATATGCTTTACTGAAATGTCTCTTAACTAAACGTCTTACCTGCGATCAGGCGTTCTTTCTTTCCTTCCCCTTTGAGAGACGAGGGTAAGAAAGGACGCCTAATACATTTACTTTACCACTCCTCTGCCCGTAGTCTGTTTTGCCTAATTGGTCGTTATAATAAAATAGTGTTCGACCAGTTTCTTTCATACTGCTCTAGCTTGTTGATAGTGAATATGTCACACAGGCATGTAGTGCAGAGAAGAAAAAATAATTATCTTTCAAAAAAATTGTTGCGAAATTGAAAGTGCAGTATTGTGGTAAAAAGCCCTTTGCAGTTCTATGACACGCGAACTAACTCTTGCTAAAATTTGTATTTAACCTAAAGTATACGAGAGATTGAAACAGCATAATATTAAATAAATAGTGGGTCTTCTAAATTGTAGGTTTTAAAACTCTTAAGCGTACCATTTTATGGTGTTTTGAATAACAGAAAAAAAAACTATTAAGATGTATTAATGGAAAAAGGCGTCGAACTAAACGCCACGCGGTGGAGCAATTTGGTTATTCGTTTTATATAAACTCGTCGAACTCGTCAGCATTTGCCCTTTACCAAATTTTCTTACGCTTTATCCATGGTATTGTTTGTTGTTTGTTGGTCTGGATCCCGTAGTTTTTGCAGTAAGCATTTTGTTCTCGTGACTGCAATCTGCAAAGGGCCTATACCTATCTTAAGTTTGCAGACAACACAGAAATTGCGCATGAGCAGGCCATTGTCTGCAGCTAAACGTTTTTCTCTTCTATGCATGAGTAGGCCTTTGTCTGCATGCAGTTATCTGTAGGTGGCCTAATGATCTTAAGAAAAAATAATTTGAAAAATATTTATCTGCTTAAAAAATCAACAAAAACAATAACGTTCAAAAACCTTTGAGGGCCCTGGCGTTTGTGTGGCGTAATCTAAGTTAGACTCTTAGTAAGAGGCTTTATAAAGCTCATAATTTTTATCTTTGTTAACGCTTCTACAGGACAAGGTGCCTGCGTTTTAAATCCCTGTCAAAATGCTGGAAGTTGTGTTCCAATACAGCTTAACGATTACATGTGCAGTTGTACGAGGGACTTTACCGGTCGAAACTGCACGGAGCGTAAGTAAAATGAAATTTTACAAATGCAGTGGCGTATTAAGCGGGAGGAAGGGGGGAACCGGGCCCCCAACTAGTTATTGTTAGGCTCCCAGGGTCAAGAAAAACTATTTTTGATGCCGGGCCACACACTTATCTTAGGGCCTGGATAAGCGGGTCCCCCAGTTACCTTAAGATCTGAATCTTGTGAAAATGACACTTTAGCGCAGAAAGCTTCCTCTATATCGTCTCTGAATTTTCCAAGTTACAAAATGTATGTCGTTCACAAATAAACGACGTTGTTCTTGTAATAGACTTGTGGCCATTATTCTGGTGGTAGACTCTCCAGGAACACGAGCTAGTGTCCTAACTTACGAGAGGCGGTAATAACGGGATAATAGGCGAGATTTCATTGAGTTTGCTTCAGAGTGGCAACAAACCATTTTCAATTTTGACAATCCTGTTAAAATTTGGACTTTTCAGGGTGAATTTTCAAAATTAATCCACAACTCAAAAAGCATACATTTATTCAAAAATATCATTTAAAGAATTCAGGGTCAAATGGTAATATCGCAAACCTCCGTATTTTTTCCACTAGAGGGTTGAGGTCCTTTAAGTCGCTTAATAACTCTCTGTGTCCACAAGGCGTGAATTGACTGTGCAGATCCATAAAATCCATGTAAAATCAAGGCTGACACATTTGTCTCTTATCTCTTTATTTTTCAGTCTCATTTAGAGGAAGCATTGGAATAAGTAGTTTTGAGGCATATCTTCCAGGTATCACAGCTGAGACAGGGGACAAGACAAATTTCAATGCTTTGGACTTCCCAAGTTTCCGCTCTGTTGAATTGACCTTTCAGGGTACGCAACTATCAGGACCAAATACCTACAAATGGACTGTTAATGGTACCACACTAGACGGGGCCAAAGATTCCCGTATCAGGATTTTCCCACAGCTCGCTAATAAAGGAGAATACCAAGTCTTCGTATCAAACGAATTTGGTACTTTGTTTAGCAGAAAAATAAAGCTGGAATTTTCAGGTATGTGCACTTTCTATTAGCTTTTTCTCATTACCTTGGGGATGTTAAAAACAGTGGATGGCGGAATGAGTTACTGTTTAGTCTTTCTGCGCTTTGCGAAGTTCCGGAAGGCTTGGTCGAATTAAGTACTTCGATATAAGTGGCCTAGCTCTAAGGCACGAACTCACACCTTAATGATCTCTTTCCCCGTGGGTTTTAATTCCCCCGGCCCGTTCATAATTATATAAACCTTTTAATATTTCCTTACAGTTTTAAATGAATCGAGTATGATCTTTGTTGAGCATGCGCTACTTGTTGCTAGGATACAGTCTTGAAAGCCTTATAGCCCGCATGCGCTTGGTACAGCAGGTTTAGATTTTTGTTTTCAGGCAGTATATTTAAGTTTTCTGGGTGTCAGTTTCAGTTAAGTACGCGCTGTTAGGTGTTCTTGTGTATTTATCAAAACAGATGTCAAAATCGGGATTTTCAAGCAAAATCGGGAGAATCCCGACGAGATCGGGATGGTTGGACAGTCTGCAATAGGGTTTAGTGAGCCAAGAATTAACCGCAGCATTATAAATTGTATTTCTCTTTTGTAAAGTGTATGTCATTGACGCATTGAGAACTATAGTTTAGGACGGAATAGACATTGAGAGCGTAACATTGAACGCACTTCGAGAGAGAATAAACGCATTTAGTGGAATTGAAAGATACAGTCCATGATCGTAACCAGGGCCAGGAAATATTCCCGAACAAATAAGTAGGATTTGTATGGGAAAAACAACTGATTAAAACAGAGCCAATTTAACGATCATAATATTTGTTGTTCTAACCTCTGTTGTTGTTTTTGGTCTCCTTGTAGTTGCAGGAGCTTTTCATCAACCTAATGAGCCCATCAACATCACTCTGGAGCAGAACAAACCGTTTCTTCTTCGCTGCCCACCTCGTGCTTACAACAACCGTGTGACTTATGACTGGATCGTTCAATCAACACAGACCTCAATTGCAAACAATCCTTCATTCGCCCCACGAATTCTCATGGAGCCCAATGGAGATTTACTTTTCTCGTTCGTCAACGGCAGCGAGTTGAGCCCAGTCCAATGTAGAACAAGAAACCTTTTTAGATCTTACATTGTTGGCCCTCCAATGTATTTACGCACCGTTATTCCAGGTACCAGTGGCGCGACTTTTTTATATCGATCGGATATTTTTCGTATCTTTACCAATATTTGGCTTATATTGTTAACACACTCGAGATCCGCCTTGGGAAATGGCTTACTGACTGCTTAATACAGTTTAGACGTTTAATAAAGGTTTGGCAAACCCCAGGGGGGTACTCCCATACATTACCTATACGGGTATGTGCCGCCCAACGGGGTCGTGATTTTGAAGCTCCTGATTTAGAACGGGGTATCCATTTCAGAGGCGTTTTCTAGAACGGGTGTATAAGATTTCGAACGCACGAAAGCTCCAGTTTTGTAAGCATCCATTTGAAATTATTCAATGACAGATTGCTTTTAAAAATACGGTTCAATGCGTTAACAAGCAAACTGTTGTACTCTGATCTTTGCATCTTAGAACGGAGTATTAAAAATTGGTCCATTTCTAGAACGGGGTATCAGTTTTAGGGTGAATTCTAGAACGGGGTATCAATTTTAGGGGAATTTTTTTTTAGATCGGGGTGCCAATTTGGAGTCCCGGGCTGCACATACCCACCCAAAAAATACCCAAGTGCCCCCCCCGGGGGGCAAACCTAAGAATTATTAAAAAATAAAATAAATAAATAAAGATACTGAAAGATGGAGATGGAGATATCTATCCACGACAACTTGACCTCAAATTGCCTCTACTTGTTTTTGTGCCAAACGAGAAAGGAAGTAAAAGCTAAACATCTTACAGAGTGTATCTGTTGCACTAGTATGGCACATCTTGCAGCTGATATTGACAAAGAGACCGTTCACAACGCTAAAGAAGCGCTAAGGAAACTGGAGCCGAAATGTGTCCCGCAATTGATTTTGAGAGAATCGCCGAGCTATTGGCTACTTCAAAAACGAGAAGGAAACTGGGCCGAGTTAACTTTCGCAAAGACCTCTGGAATCGTTAAAGGGGACGCGCCAGTCTGCTATTGGCCAATTACTTTGTCCCCAGTGACAGTCCCAGACGTTTTTGCAAAAGTTAACTTGGCCCAGTTTCCTTCTCGTTCCTGAAGTTGCGAATTGGCCTTTTTTCCCCCTGCTTCTAGTAACAGTTCCAGAAGTCTTTGCGTAATTTAACTTGGCCAAACTTCCTTCTCGTTTCTAAAGTGGTGAATAGAGGTGAACAGAAAGCAAGGACACTCTTTTGCTTCTCGGCTTTTAAAACAAGTGTCATTTAATAACCAATCTAACTTGAGATAAATGCTTGGCACCATTTTTACACCACATGTTCGTCAAATCAATCAAGCATACCAGGTCTGCTATCACTAAAAAGAATGAGAATCTTTGTCTGTGGCGTTCAACGTACCCAACTTCAGACCGTCTCGCGGAACGCTCCAGTCTGTCAGAAATTGTGTTAGAACCAACCTTTATAAATATGTAGTAGGAAGTACAGTGCCGGTTTTCAGATGTTTACTGCTGTTGTTTTTCCAGCTACGCAGAGCCCTAGTTCCTTGTCGCCGCTGAAATTTTACACGTTTCCACAAGGTGAATACACCGTGCTTAGTGGAGATCAGTTCTACCTCAATTGCACCGCAGGAGGAAGGTACGATTCTTCGCTTTTAAGCAAGACAAGAAGAAAAATCCTAGGGAGTCCAGGATATCAGAGAGATCAGTACTGCTAGGTTTGTAAGCAGGGTACTAATAATGCATTCTTATCATTCTATAGGCCAGTCCCAAACATACAGTGGTATAAAGAAGGATCATTGATTCAAGATTCGGGAGACTTGTTTCAGCATCAGGTCCTCAACAGAACCCTGCGTCTGGGCTCACTAAACTCGAGCATACATGATGGAAAATATATTTGTCAAGCAGTCAGTCCTTTTGGAAATTTGACAACGTCTTTCGATGTCAAAGTCATAGGTATAAAAAATATTACTCTCCACAAAAGATATATTTAAAATATTTGAGAACTACTCGATGTTAGGACATTTTTTTGGTATTTCACTCGCTCTGTTAAATAGTTGCTAAATATAGTCGCGGAGTATAAGATTGCGGACGAGTAAGAGTTTGCAAACTAAATTTCCTCAGATGAATCTATGATCACACCAATCTTAGCCCTAGCGTTTACTAAATTATTATTATGGAGAGCAAGGACGATAAAACGTAGAGATACTTCGCTTCTTCGTCGAAGTCGATACGCCGAAGCACGAGAAAGATGCTAAGCAAGGGAGTCTACAATCTCGTACCCAAATGGACCAAAAAGCCAGAAGACTCTGGGTACGAGATTGGGGAGACTACGGAGCATGCGTTCAACAAAAGGAACCCCAACCGGTTCTTGCGCACAGAAACATACCGATACCAACACTTCCAACGCTACCAATACAGGATACCTGGGCAGCCTCTGCCGACGCATGCGAGTAGACTCACTTGTGCTTATTAGCACGGGAAAAATTTGGTGCTTAGTAGAACTGACACTGTCAAGTGAGTCTGTTCGCAGGCTACCTCTCCCGCTACCACTAGTAACAAAGGTCTGCTTACGTTTCTTATTGCTTACAACAATCATTACTGAATCCTCAGACAATGATGACTTGCTCATTCGAGTAATATATAGATTTAGCCAAGGTCAAAACATGAGCGAAGCTCTTAAAGGATCTTTTAAGAAAAGTCTTTCTTAAGAGATTCATATTTTGCCGTAAGTAGAGAGCACAAACGGAATTCCTCTAAAGAAGATCTAGAGTCCTAAGCCCACGATCAATTAAAAAACAACAATTGCAGGGGCGGATCTAGGGGGGGGGGTGCAGGGGGTGCGCACCCCCCCCCCCCAACCTGAGATGACCTGCGGTTTTCTAATACAACTGGTATTCTGCACACACACACAAAAAAACTATGTGGTTTATTGGTGTTAAAGTAGAGCAAGAGACGAGTGCACCCCCTCCTAAAAAAATCCTGGATCCGCCCCTGAATTGGTCAGCAGATAACTTTAACAAATACGTCACCTCGATGAGTAGTATAGGCTCGTCATCGTCCTCTTCCGCAGTTAAGCTCCATTTATGCAGGCACTAAATTTATATTATCGTAGCTGCTGAATCGGAAAAGAAACATCGGGGTTTGGTTTGATAACACCATGCCAATGGCAAGCATGTGGAATTTCTTTGTAAAACGTTTTCTACCATCTCCGTAACCTGCTCACCTTACTGTCACTCACTATTATCTGGTCTCCCTCAGCATTTGCTGCAAAAACTCCAACATGTTCAAAATGCTGCGGTCCGTCTCCTTACGGACTCACAGAAATACGATCATATTTCCCCGATCTTAGAGGAACTACAATGGTTGCCCGTCAAGTCAAGGATTGAGATCAAGATGTTAATTTTGACTTTTAAAGCTTATCACGGAATTGGACCTAAATTTTGACAGATTCTTTAGTTAAATATACACCTAGCAGAACACTCCGCTCCACCAACATGGGTTGCTAGTAGTCCCTAAGAAAACCTTGAGCCCTATGGAAAGCGCGCTTTTTCAGTTATTGCCCCCTCACTCTGGAACAATTTACCAGACCAATTAAGAACTACAGCATGCTTAATTTCTTTTAAGAATAGAGATAAGAACTTTTTATTTAGCCGGCGTTCCTTTTTGATTTTTCTTATGTTTTTATGATGTAGTTCTACAAGTCATATTTTAGTAACTTTTTTGTTAAGCGTCATTGGTTATCTAGTAGAAATGGCGCTGTATAAATAACTTATTATTATTATCATTAATGTATGCCTGAGCCCACGATACAGTCATGTGACACTGGCCAGTGGATGTCCTTTTTTCGATGACTGTCAATTGACCATATAACATGATTGTCCATAATGGGTGTCAATACCAAGTTAAACAACAGGCCCCAGTTTTTCCAAAGCTGGATAGCGCTTTCCATCGGATAAATCTCTACCTTGTGGACAAGTATTAGGGAAACCAATTGTACTATCCACTGAACAGAGATTTATTCGGTGGATAGTGCTATCCACCTTTTGAACAACTGGGGCCAGATAATATATGCCCTCAGGACTCCTAGCTAGAAAATGTGCCATTTCACATCCGCTAACATGAAAGGGTGGACGTACGGACGATTTTGTCAGAGCCAAAACTTCTTGGATGCATAGATAACCAAATTTCAAATGGTGCTCCGCTGCGCACGCTTCGCGCGCGAGAGCTCCGCTATTGCCCTGCTTTTGTGATATGGACGCAAAAGTGACAAGCACTTAAACTAAGTTTTGCATCGTATGCGATCTCTTGACTTATTAGACCATGCCCTAGTTGTTCAAAAGTTGGATAGCCCTGTCCACTGGATAAATCACTATTCCGTGGATAACGCAGTTGGTTTTCGTAGTACTTATCCTCTTGATAGCGATTTATCGGGTGGATAGTGCTATGTTTGAACAACTGGAACCATCTGAATAAGGGTCGGGTTTCACCATTGATGGTTGAATTTTATTGTTTAATTCCCAATTTGTTTTATGTAATTTACGTCCCTTTTTGTCTCTCACAGACAGGGTAACAGCGAAATACCCCACGGCTGGGTCTCATTATGAAGTCAGAGCTGGGAAGCGGAGAGGAAGGGTGACAATGTTTTGTAACACAACAGGACACCCAATAATCAGTAGGACCTGGTTTTACAATGGAATCGAAGTTGAGAACAGGTTGAACTATCTGAACTATAACGTTAATCACATAAAGTACACATTTTTTCTTGGGGACGATTCAAAGGAACCAGTGAAAAAAGTAACTTTCTTTTGGAGGATAGGTTTCGTTTTAAGGAAGTTTATCACTATCTGGCTCAAAGCGAAAAAAAAAAAAAAGAAAAAAAACAGAAGAAAGAAAATTTGATTTCCCTTCCTTTCCCCATTTGATTACTTCATGAGAATAACCTTAAAGTTTACTTCTCTTTCAGGGCAAAGTTTACCAACCGATTTTCTATCGATCAGTCGGATGGTAACCTGGAAATCTGGGACCTTCGGTTGGATGACTTCGGTTTTTACCAGTGCGTGGCAAAAAACAAGTTGACTGAGGATGACCGAAGAACCTATTTAATAGTGACTGGTATGTCTTAAGAGTAGAAGTGACTTACAGCGGTTTTATATCATCAGCGTCATTTTTTCCTGTCATGTAGCTAAAGGCTGTACGCGCCGTTTGAATTTTGACTTCTTTCTTGCTTGTTTTTTGCTGATATCCCTATCAATTCAAACTCTAAAGTGTTTTTGGATAAGCAAAAACAAGACCAAAGTTCCCCTGCTCATGCGAGGTAGCTTGATCAATGAATCGAAAAGACACTCCCACTCATTTAAAAACACACCGTCATAAAACGATGCCGAACTTATCCTCGATGAAAATAGCGATTCTTTTTTTGGATTGGAGGCTTAATGTACTTTATGTGGGGTCTGATGACCGATTATTTTATTTTATAAAATCTTTTAAATTAAATGTGACACATTTATTTTTGGAAATACTGGTCAATGTCTTGTCTGAAGGCACCAACATTTTGGATCATTTGCGAACAATTGTTTTAGTCTCAAAGATTACCCTTTTCAGTAACTATTGTTACGGCTTTGATTTCGTGATTCGTCAGAACCCTTGTTGAAATTTAATCATGTATTAAGTTGTTTTTAAGTATCTGCACTCATATCTTTTTCTGTTAATCTTTTGTCAGGGCCTCCCCTCCCTCCCGTCAACGTAGTAATAACCAACTGCGCAAACCACACTGCCAATCTTACCTGGGATGTGAGGCTAACTCCAGATCTCGATCCGCCATCCGAGTTCATCATTGAGTGGAGAGCGAGGTCCAAGTCAAATCTTTTACCCTGGCAAGAGTTCTCTAAGCTTGCCGTTGTTAATGGTGCTACTCGTTTGTTTGTTGTAAAGAATTTAAAGGCTGACAATGACATACAGTTCCGCATTCGTGGGTCTAATAATCGTGGACCTGGGTTTCCTGGCTATATGGTGTCGGGCCTTACTTGTATCACCAACAGCAAGAGTAAGTACTAAACGAGGGTCCAAAGCGTGGCGGTAAAATGAAGACATCTTTTTGTCTGCGAACGACCGAACTATCCTTTTTAATTTCCTGAAAAAGGGCATACAAAAATTAAAAGCGGCCGTTACATGTTGTATTTTTCCTAGCAACAAATAAAAAGCAGGTTTAATTTCATTAATGACCATAGGTGTAAAGGGGAAGGCATGCGCAAACTTCTGTTGCGAACGCATTGAAAGCTTTTAGACCCTTTGCCCCTCACCCCCTCTTGGAGACCACTTGACATTGCTTTTCTCCCATAAATCCTTGCGTGTTTACCCGCTGGGTTATTAAAAGACAACCTTGTCAGTTTCTCTCCCCTTTTAACCTTTCGAAAATAGAGTCAATATGGGCGTTTGCCTTAAGCACTGCCTAGTCAATCAATAATGCCTGAATTTTTTTTAGATTTTTGAGAGCCTTTCTTCATATTGGTTAGTCCTTTAATTTAGATAATATACGAATCTTGTACCATTTTGTTTTAGAGCCCTCGCTTTATCCGGCCAATCTTAAAGGCTCACCAGGGACGAGTGATCGCATACTCAGGATAACTTGGAAAGTGAGTAAGCAATGAGTAGTTTTTTAAACGGCTATATTTGTCAAGGAAACGTACGCGTTTTCGCAGAACGATTACTTGTGGTAGTAAGCGTAAATATTTTGCAGTTTACTAAGAGGAGGATTTTCCACTACAGGCTCTTGATCGAGTAGACTGGAGCGGACCATCCTGCATCTACAGAATTTTTTATCGTCTGAATGCTCCTAACGCAACCTGGAACAACAACACTAGATTTTTGGTGACTGCTCAAGAAGTCAATACAGTTTCTTTGTACCTCAGCCCAACAGTGAGTATGAAATCGCGATCCGCGCAGAAAACTCCAAAGGAATTGGGCCATTTAGTCCCATTGTGAAAGGTCTCTCTGGACAAAGCCCACCCTTAGCTCCCTCGACAGTATCTATAGTACGGATTCAGGCGAGGACTGTGGAGGTGCAGTGGAGCGCAATACAGGTTCTCCCTCCCAAGACAGTGGATGGCTACTGGGTACGTATTTCTATGAATTATCACAGGAGGCCATAACCCGGGGCGAATAACTCTCACATTCGTGTCACGGCGTTTCCTCTGACAAGTTTATTTTTGGATTGGATTTTGGTGCGAATAAGGACCATTCGAAAGAAGTTCCACAGGTTATAGACCAGAAAATGATAGTTTTGGCGCTTTAATGCTGATTCTCTTTACTTCTTTTACATTTTATACTTCGAGTAAGCCCATAAACGGATAACATCTCAGTGCTGATATCTCTTAAGAAGGTATTTTGGGAGGCTAAAGTACAAGAAGTTACAGTAGTTCAATCTTAAAGTTATCAACCCATGGACCGTAAATTCAGCTACACGAAACCTCCTTCTTGTGGAAAATACACTTTCCTGGTGTAGTAAATGTTTGATTTACTTGATTTAACCTTTCAAAAGAAAAAATCAGGATAATGGATAATGGGAATCAGGATAATGTCATTGGTCATGATTAAATTGTATATTTTCAGATCTTAGCATGGCCAGGTAGTATTAGGCTAAATCCTGAGCCCTGTGAGGATTGTGAGTCGTTATTGCGACGCAGAAGAACAGCTGGGGAGTTACCATCAACAGCAACACCACAACCGCTGTTTCCAGTTGGCACCATTCGCGTACATGTGAACAGCAGCCTTACCGCGGTGGTGACGGGACTAAAACCCTGGAGCGAGTACACCGTGGTAGTACAGGGCTATAACAATGCGGGTTTGGGTACACCAAAAATAGAAGTAATTACTACTCTAGATTCAAGTAAGTATATACCTATTTAGCGTTTTCTCCTTGTAAATGGATAGCAGAATTTCCTAGAATTTCTCTGTTATTTTGGGGCTTCCTGGGACAGCGGGACGAAGTGGGAGGGGGAGGGGTTGTAAGCCCTCCGTCTATATCTTAAAAACCACTCATGATACGATCACCGAATTTACGCAGAATAATGTCCTTATTTGTAACATTTATTTATTGTCACGTTGTAATATGACTTCATTATGGCGTCATATTGTTACATTTGTATATGGTAAAGTTCCTAACAAAGAAGCATGATAAAGAAAGAAAAAAAATTCCAATTTCGTTAGCAGTTCTATATTTATGAAAACTGTAAAAATCCAATTACTACTCCGGAATTCAATTCATTTGCAATAAACAGCGGTTTTGTTTTCTGTTTCCAGAGGACTCATACTACAATTTGTCAATGACGATCACAAGTGAAAGGTTCAGTGATGATCTCAGAAATGAGAATTCAAGTAGATATAAAAGCATTCGCGATAGCGTTATTGGAGAGGTAAGTGTTACGTGATTTCTTTTATTTGTCGACTCCTTCTGTTCGGTCAATTTGTTATTCTTGTTTTTTTTATTTGTGATTTAATTTATACATATATGTTTTAATTGAAGTAGGAGGTTGTTTGCCTTTCTAAATTTATAACTTTCTTCTTTCGCAAAATTTGTTATTCTTGCTATTTTTATACATACATACATGCATACATATACATGTACATAACCTTTTTCTAATAAAAGTGTGACAGAATGAATGCCTTGTACAACTTAAGCATTGTATCCTTAGGGATAATGTTGAGGAACCGTGACATTACATGAAATTGATTTAATTATTGATTATAATTATTTATACATTTTTGCCGGCAGATTCTTATAAACTTTTTTGTAGGAACTTCTTTGTCTTTTTCAATTTAGAACTGTCTTGTTGTACTAAATTTGATGTTAGTGCTATTAACTTTGCGATTTTTTTGCGCAATTCTGCCACAGTTTTTTTTAAACATTTTATAGCAGCTTCTTTATTTTTAACTCTCTTTTTTTGCTAAATTTGTTATTCTTTTTTTTTTTTCGCGTTTTTCTAAATACATTTTTGCTAGCAGTTTCTTGTTAATTTTTTTTTGCAAAAGCTACTACCGAGATGTGCTGGCAAATTTTTGGTACAGCTTGCAGCCCTGGACATGTGTTTTAGTCGCACCAGGTTTGATTAAGAATCACTAAAAAGATTGTTTCCTTTCATTAACAGGTGTCTTCACTTTATCAACCTTTTCCTTGGTTTAAAAGAGTTATCTTACTTGGCCTCAGGTACACTAATACACAATAATTCAGTCTTCTTTAATTGGCTTTGTCACAAGGATATTGCTGTTTAAGATCAATCAGTTCTATGCTGAAGTCATTACAACAGCAGTGTTCGTAGTAAGCAGAGTTATGAAGAAATTACGAAAAACAAATTTCATCAAGGAGCACTAACCACAAACGTTTGATTGATTTTCACAGGCATGGTATTAAAGGAGCTGTGTCACGAAATTCAGCCAAATTAGGAAATTACAAAATGCCCGTTAAATTAAGAGAAACATAAAAATAACCGCTTAAAACTTTAAAGGAAGGTTAAAATAACATAACAGATACAACAGATGTCACGGATGGGCCAAACTGAAGAAGATTGAAACGGACTGAAATTAGGATTTTTGAAGACTGTTCAGCCTAACAGTGTTTCAAAGTTGATCCCTGCTGCTTGCAACTTCAAAAATAATGCTCAGGAGACATATTTGTTTGTCTCGGATCTCTGATCTTTTTTTTTGGCAAAATTGAACAAAACGAACTGGACTGCCGTGACACAGCTGCTTTAAAATGTGAAGAAGTTGGCATACCTTGTTTTAAGTTTCAATCCATGTCCATCCTTACCATCTTTTGCGACATACGACAAGAAACAGTTTCAATACTTTAATATAGTTTTTAATAACAAAACTAGACAAGTACTTTGGAATTCAATTGATGCGAAAAAGGTTTATCTTTTTGAAGACATATACCAAATAGCGTAACATAGCCTCTTTAAGAACTAGAACTTCGTACTACCGCACAGCATTAACCACGGTGGAACTCTGCTAACACGACCACCATAAAGGGGGTACTTTTTGTCAAGCAATTCTCTCCTCATTGGCCAAATCTTAATTCGTCCAGTCTGTCAAATAGTTCCCGTGCACTGACTGACACCAGTCAATGTAAATAAAAAGGGAAATGTGTTCACTAAAATCTCTCCTCTCCTACTGTTGTAACGAACTTTCTTTACTGCGCATAAAAACGTGCAGTCCCGAGCGGCACTCGGGAACGCCCCTCGTTGCCCGTGACTTGTTTGTATTGTGGTAATATTCTGGGTAAGTGGAGACTGTTCACAAGCCCCTGTTTTCTCGTTACATCGTCAGGATCGAGTGCTTATAGGTACGAGCGGCCATCTTGGTTTTATATGTACTGTCCAAAGCCCCCTAAGTAGATTTGAGACTCATCCAAGATGGCCGACAGTGACGCAAAGTCTTTGATCTCGACCATCATACGGAAAAATCGGGGACTGTGAACAGTTTAGGGGCAAGTGGAGTCGCCACAAAAAAATTGCGTGAGAAATTGCAAGATAAATTTTCCAGTGTAAAACACATCGAACAAGAGCCACCCAGCACACAAAAGCCTCCAAAACGCGAGAAAATCTGAGTAAATAGGCCATTTCAAAACAAGGCTAAGTGCGAGGCCATTGATACCAAAATCTTCGCAACAAATGTTTTGCACTTAGCCTTGTTTTGAAAGTGAGAGTTTTTATATCTAGGCCTATTGTATCCCCTTATCGAACAAGCTTTTACTCATCTTCATAACTAAAGTTTTGCATTTCTCAAAATATTGTTTTTGCTTCTCTTAGTCCTGGAAGTGTTCAAGCTGAAATTCAGATCGAAGTGGCTAATCCCAATGTAAGCATCGTTCGTAACGTCGTGGAAGTGATAGATAATCTGGGAAACTTTTCACTGAATAGGAATTTAACAAAAGTACGAAGTGAACCAGGTAAAAAATTCATTTTTTTTAAACAATTTTGTAATGCAATTATAAACCCCCGTTTTATCTTGTTCTGTTGCCCAACCAGCTGTGCCGAACTGAACTTATTCGCCACATTACAGGGGCGGGTCCAGACCTTCAGATAATAGGGAGCTTAAGCAACAACGTTTTTGAGCGACGCACGTCAACCGGAAGTGGCCTTTTTTCATTTTTTGACGGTGGTTTCGCGCAAATTTTCAGTCAAATCGCCTCTATAACAGTAAAGAAGCTAAATGAATACAAATTTTATATCATCAAGGCATGTTAAGAGGGAAAATACCTCACTTCCGGTTGACGTGCGTCCCTCAAAAACGTCTTTGCTTAAGCTCCCTTAGCGGGGAGGGGGCAGTCATCCAGACCCTCCTTGAGATGAGGAGGGACCCGGTCTAAAAAAGAAATTAGTTTAGTCTAAAAATAGCCCACCCGGCCCCTCTCCTGGATCTGCCAGTGCATTAGAGACGAGAAGGAAGCGGTTCCGAGTTAACTTACACAAAGACTTCTAAGACTGTGACTTAGTACAGGTAATAGCATGATTTGTAGTGATATTTGGCATAAATAACACGAGTGATATTTCGAAACTGTTATGCGTAATTTGAGACAATTTTGAAATATCACGAGAGGTATTTATGCCAAATATCACGTACAAATCATGCTATTATTTGTTTATACTTCTACCCGCAATAGTTTTGTAATTTTCACATGTAGGTTTTTCAAATTAAGCTTAAATACCACTGCTCTAAGTCAATCAAATTGCAGAAATTTCTCATGTAGTAGTATAAAGACAGTAATAACGGTCGAAAGCTGACTAGCGCGTCTCCAGTAACGATTCCAGAAAAAACATTGCGGGACGCATTTCAGCTCCAGTTGCCTTATCTTTTCTTAGGTGGCCAAATTTATACTTGCCGTGGGTTCCAGTCTCGTTGTGATTAGGCTGATTTAGCAACAGAACGGGAAAGTCATTTGGCGACGGGAGAGCGCGCGGAAAGGTCTAAACTCGACTTCCGGTGCCCAATTTGCCACTCTGCCATTGGTCAAGCCAGTTGTTTGATTTGCGCGCGCAGTCGTACACTGACGTTCCCGTTTTGTTGCTTTATTACATCCACTTTGAAATCACTGGCTATCCATGCGCTGAGTCTCAGCAGTGTGACGTTCCCATTTTTTGCTCTAAATCGCATTTGTTGCGTAAATCATGTTCTAAATCGCATCATTTTGTTTTAAATCGCACCATTTTTGTTCTATAGCGCATCCTTTCTGTTTCGAATACAAAAATTACGCGTATGATTTCAGACCAAATTGCTCTCCACTTAGTTCAATTACCATTATAAATCAGCCTATTAACTTGCTAGTATTTTGCTTAATATCCTGCTAGTTGGGTTTGATTGGTATGTATTAATAATATTTGTTTTAATTTTGGTGTTCTTAACATATAGAAAGCGAACGTTTTAGGGATGACCCCTTTCTTCGGTTTAAAGTGTGACAATGGGTATGCTTAGCTTGTGCTAGTTATGTTGCGTTTCAGCCGCTAGGACACTTCTGACAGTCGAACATTTAATAGGCTGATTTAGCAACAGGACGGGAACGTCAGTTGACGATGGGAAAGCGCGCGGAAAGGACTAAACACGACTTCCAGTGCCCAATTTGCCGCTCTGCCATTGGTCAAGCCAGTTGTTTGATTTGCGCGCGCCGTTGTAAACTGACGTTCTCGTTCTGTTGCTAAATCAGCCTAATGGAGTCCAAGCGCGTCCGTGCAGAGCGCGTGCATTAATTAAAAAAAAAAAGGACGGTTGGTTGAAGTACACCTATGACGTCCCATTTGATTAAAGTGGAACCCGTTCCTACTGTCACCGACAGTTTTCTTTCTTTACAGAAACCGATTGATATGCGCAACGGGCACCTCTATTTACCTCTAGTTAAACGCCTTCAAGCAGAATTAACCTTACTATACGGACACTGTTATAAGCGCAATAAATATCTTATAGTTGAATTTTAATTGTAATTATAATTCTAAATTTATTTGTTTTTATACTTAAAGACCTCGCTTAAAGACGACTTGAGACAAATCATATGAATCGATGACTTTAAAAATACTTTAAGAAATTTGAATTTTCATCAGAATTACTTTTATAATTTTTTGCTAACTTTAATAATTTTCAGTAAGTTTTACTTTAATTTTGCTCGGAAATATTAGCTCAATAGAGCTACTCTGTAAATTCGAGTTAAAATAAAGTTTATGTATGTATGTATGTATACTTACCATGCGTTTCCATACCTAAGCACAATAGCAACATAAAATAAATTTCAAGGATGAATATGAATGAACTGACTATTTAACTGACTAAATAGAAACCTGTCTCAAATTGAATTGAGCGAACTCAGCCACGTCTAATCAGAGTTCCCGACCAAAAGAGACAACCAGATAACACGGAGACTCTGGTATGTCCCTGTGCCGTCCGCACTAGCAGGGTTTTACTGTATTTGCTTGTGATTACTTGAGCAGAGTATAGTGTAAAATAGCTGCTGCAGCTAAGCGCATCTCAAAGCGCATTTGTATTTAATATTTCAGACCCAGGTGACTCGCAAAAACTTATTAAACATAATAGAAATAAAGGAGGAGCGGTTTTATTATTCACAAAAGTCATCGAAAAAGATTGCACATTTCGCGAGGGCTGACTGTTTTAAATCAGCAAGCCATCTGCTCTATATAACACAGAGATATTCCTTCCATTTTAGCGATACAGAATGTCCTGGTAAATGCATCGAGCCTATTGGTGAACGTGAGTGACAGAATTGTCGTTAACTGTACTGTGATTGGCGGACCTCAAGGCCTCAAAGTCACGTGGTTCAAAGGAAACAAATTGATTGGATTAACCCACCGCACTAAAGTTGATACCGGTTTACGTTATTCACTCTTGACTATCAGGGATGTTATGGCGGAAGACGAGGGAAACTACAGTTGTCAAGCAAGGTAGTGTTCTGAAAAAAAAAACTTTGTGTAGGAGGGAAGGGAGGGAATAAATACCCAGTCTCCCCCCCCCCGCCTCCATGCCTTCAACACGAGCGCCACAACAACGCATGGTGCAAGTCAATCGTTGCACGCCCCAATGATGCAGGATACATAGTACACTTTGTAATAATCCCATTGGTTAGTTCAATATAATTATCCAAAATTTTGATCAAAAAAATACATATACTTCATATACTTTGGTTAATAAATATTCCACAGTGAAGTCTCTTCGTACTCTCACAAACTAAATAGATTTAAAAGTAGTTTTTATTTTATTTTAGCAAGGGATTTCAGACAGGGAACGCTAGTGTCACAGTGAACGTTTTTCCTGTTCTTGAAATCCAACCACGAGCCATCAGCAAGCGTGTTGGTGAGTTTTTCCTTCGTTTATGGCAGAATTTATTGTAATACATGGAGAAGGATGCGAGTGTGTGCCAAGGCCATGCGATCCCGATAGTTGATGATTGTATCACGTATCATCAACTGTGATTTTCTTTCGTCCTAGCTTGCTGTCAAACGGTCAATGATTGTGAGTGTTTACTCTTGATATTTGGAAGTGGAAATGAAGCCATTGCTCTCGCTGGATTTAGAGCAAAAGTTTGAAAAAAAAAGGGCAAATCGGTGTCATTATGAATGCTTTGAGCTTAGAGACCGTCGACTTAGAACAGAAATTGGCTGAAAAACTATTAATTACTGCTGACTATCAACACGCAGCAAAATGGGAAAAACTATCCTTTACCGACTATTTTATGTAGCGATTACCTCCTCTCTATCCACTCCTTATTTTTCGCTAGTACGCTGGCCAGAAGTATATTAACAGAAGCTTGGCTCTGTCTTTTTAGGTGATCAAGTAACGTTTAATTGTACGGTAGTCAGCGGCTTCAGGCAGGGAGCACACGTGATTGTGGTAGAGGTGACAGACAGATTTAATGAAGTCCGTTACCAGGACTCGAGCTTTGCAGTGGTAAATCTACAAATTCCTGGAGGGAAAACAAGCCATACCAGAAGTTTTAAGTGTGAAATGTGGTTCCAGCAACAGTTATTATCAAGAAGTCAAATGGCAGAATTGGTCATTATACCAGTTGGTAAGCGGACTGTGTCGCAGACTTAACCCTTAAGCCCCAACATCCACAAACAAATTCTCCACACTGGTCTCTATACATTTCGATAAATGATAAGTTGTGAGGACTTGACAAAAGATCAAATATTTATTCTTAGGTGATTATTTTGTTTATTCTCACAACCTTTGCTCTTGATTGTGTATTGGTATTGTTGGGAGAAAATTGATGTTGGTCACTGTTGGGACTTATAAGGTTACAAAGCAAAACCAGAGTTTAAATGTGCTACTTAATTAATAGACTTTGAGGAACCCTTGTAGTTGTGGCTTTTCTTCCTCAAGGAGTGGTTATACTTAATATACAAAAGTTTCTGAATGATGGAAAAAATAAATGTTATTTTCATGTCTCGTAAGAATGTGTTTCCGTTATCGATAAAATGGAGCTTTGAACAAGCCCGAAGTGCCCACGACTACACCATTACAGAAGCCCTGATTGAAAATTCTTACAGCTTGGTTACGCACTATGATATTAAGAACTGATGTTCTTCCTTTGCCTTCCAGATGCACCAAAATGTCCCGCGGAACCTCTGGAGGGAGTGTCGTGGGCGGCCACGGCAGCAGGGAGCATCGATATACAACCCTGTCCACCAGGAGCCACCGGTAAGTGCATAAAGCGCATGCGCCTGATCAGGCTCATGCCGTCTAAGCCACTCTCTTTTAAGAGCTTTCCGCGACGCTGACCAAAAGGATGGAAGCGTTGGGAATGAGAATACGTCTTAAGCCGTCTAAAGCTTTAAACCGCAAGCCTCCACTGATTTTTATCACTTTAAATGATAAAATACGAATGACGTACTCATTAGTTGTGTTTTAATTTGATAGTGTTTTCTACATGAATTCACAAGTGACTGGAAGCTTACTCGCAAGCTAGTTGAACTTTTGAGTTTGTTTAAAAGCAAAGCATCTAGGCAGCATGAAGTAGATTTCCTAATATATAGGGTTTTGGAGAAATGTCCAAAGGGGGTGGGGGAGGGGGTGGGGTTAAGAGGCCTCATTGGAGAAGGTGCTAGCAAAGACTTAACCGAGTCTTTTATTTAACAGGATGTTTTGCACGTCTAAGACCACAAATCAACTCTTTTAATGTTCTCAATGTTTAAAGATTAAAAAGAACCATCGTCGTGTCTATTCGGAGAACTGCAGCTTTGTTTCAAATTATTACTTGTATAAGTTTGGTCAAACAGCGGTGTTAAAAAACTTTCTGTAGCTGAGTAACAAGAACTTGTATTTTTACAATTTTTACAGGAACGGCATCACGAATTTGTTCTCAATCGGCTGTTTGGGGGGAAGCGAAGTTTATCCGATGCACTTCTCCGGAATTTCTCCGACTGTTAGATGAGGTTAGCTACAAGAAAGACCAGGAAGTTGATTTTTGTATATTTTTGTAACGGGGATGCTTGGCGTCGGAAAACGAAAACTAAACCCCACTGGACATTGCTCAGGGTTTCTTTTACCCGTAGAGGAGACCATACTCAAGCAAAGAATGAACGTGTTTGCCTTTTTGTTAAGATACGTCTTTACGCAAAACCTTAGCAAGAAAGACTGAGTGAACTCTTGCCCTCTTGCCTTCAGCCATACCTTAATGGGCCATCCGTCTTTAACACCCCCTTTACCTTTTTATAGGTGGGTTTTTTTGCTTTTTGTTTTCGTATCCCTCTCAGAGTTTTTCCATGAGTGTGATGCGTGGAAGATATCAAGAACTACGTTTGATTTAAGGAAGACCCGAAACGCAAAACATAGCCATCAAGAATTGATTGTCGCCGATCTACTATTGCAAATATTTTTGACTCGCTACCCTCTCTTGTATTTGACACCGGTAATAATATCTTGGAATAAATTCAATAACGCATATATATTTACTCGTTCCCTTTCAGACCGAGGCAATAACTGAAGGGTTCGAGACGGACTTTACTGCAAAGCAAATCCTTTCACAGTTAGCTAACGTTTCAGAACCGGTATCGGACAATTCTACAAGGCCGAACGAGATCTACGGACGAGACCTTTCTATATCGGTGGATATACTAGCCAGACTGGCAGACTATAATAGCAACCAAGGCAATGTAAGCTCCACTAAAGACGTCTATAATTATGCACAAGTGGCTAGTAATTTGCTGGACTTAACCAACAGCAAAACATGGCAGAACCTCGAAAGAGTAAGTCAATTTTTCTTTTTATAAAGCTAGACCTTCCTCGAAAAAAATTATAGAGGCACACTGCTTCCTTAAGCTAAAGTCTGACAGGTCATTTTAAAATTTCAATTAATCTATTTTTGTCTTTCAAGTTACCATGTTACCGCCACTGAGCGTTTTCACTCACGTGGCCAGCATCTATGCTAATTTATTGGAACAAAAGAAAGCATTTACATGAGAAAAGAGTTCAACTCCCCGATAATTTTCTGGGTACACTAACATGGCCGCCGTTTCATTGTTTTGGAACACCAATATGGCCACCGTGACGTCACGTGAAAACGCTCTATAGTATAGCTCCAACATCTGGTACATAAATCACACGCATCTCACAATCCCCTGATTAGCTTACTGAAAACCTTTCTTCAGAGGTTGTTTCACTGTTATTTTAACAATGTGTAATAGACATATCGACAAAGCAGCTAAAGGTTTGACAGCTTTGTGAGTCTTCAGCCCTTGGATATTGACTGTCAAAAGAGAAGCTACGGATTCCCATATACTGAGTGTATCCTGGGTATGAATATCAAATCTACTAAGGGGGCGGGGGACGGTTTGGGACTAGGCGAAGAGGAAAGGGACTGTGGCAACGTTATTCAGCTTGTGTTCAGGGGGTGTGGCATGAATTTCAGGCCATTATTATTAAAACAAAAGGAAAAAACGCTTTGAAAGGAAACAGAAAAGCAAGCAAAACATGGCTGTTACATCTGATAATCCTGCCCAACTTTTGCGTTTAGCCGGTTCACTGTGTCCAGTAGGGAATCAATTGTGCCAATAGGTCCTGATTTTCTCTCTTAAGACAGTCCAAAGAGTTAGTTATGTTTAAAAGATTAATAGAAAGGACATTATTACAGAAAAGCTTACTAGTGAAAAAGCAAAAGTTTCGACGAGCTTAAAACTGAACCTCCCTCTTGGTCAATCTAGCGCTGACCGTTGTGGGGTAAGCCTAATGAGAATTATGGTCCCCGGGTAATGGGTAATAAAGGATGGGTATTTTTTCTTTTATTCAGTGGAGAATCTGTCCATATGATCAAATCATAACCTAATTAATCCTGTTTATATTATTATAACTCAAAAATTGAAAAGGTTTTCGCTCAGTTCTAACAGATGAAAGGGAACTGAATATAAAGGAAGGGTCAGTGTTATCATCTCGTAAACTGACGTGTTCGCATTGTTTTATCCTCAGGCGGGTCAAGGCAGGGGCCGAACTCTGGTCAAAACACTCGATATTTATGGACTTGGAGTCGCTGCAACTTTAAGTGGATCCACAAAATCCAAGACAGTTGAAACGAAGAACTTGGTATTAAGGATCGATCGGGTTAAGCGGGGTAGTCCGGTATGAGCAAGTTTAATTATCTACTTGATATGATGTGATATGTATGATGGTGCTTGTAACCGTTATAAAGGGGTTTACATATTTCATATCTAGTAAGCTGAAAATTGTTGATTTCAACCGTAAACTACCCCAAACTCGTTTGCAGCTCCTCACAATGGTGAGAGTTAGAGTTCTTGTCAAGCCTAGATTTGTTCAGCTTTTCTTGACAGCAGTCATGATTCCGTCGCTTTCTTTTGTTGTCAGATAGAGCGATTTTCGTACGACCTTGAAATGAAAACGCGCGGAGAAAATAGAAACGAGAAACGAACGGAAATAGAGCGATTTGATTGGTTTATTGAAAGGATACAAACGTGCGTAGCTATAACCACATGTCTTAAGTGCCACCACTTAGACATGTGGTACCAGTTATCAAAGCACGCAATGCAAATGGTATCACTTGCAACTCTGTCGTTTTCAGCCTAGCGTTGCTGGCCCTGGGAGCACGCGCACCTGGGAGTGTGCGTGTTCCCTTCTTGCGCTCTGTAAAAACTAGCCTAACCGGCGCCTGCCTCCCAGGCAATTTTCAGTGTTTAACCATACTGAGCAAACTGTATTATTTTTCTCCATTTCCTTTAGTTGAAGAAAGAAGGTTTAAATGTCTCGTACAGTCAAAGTTCCATCTACCTACCTCGGCAAACTTTTGGTGCTCCAGACTCACGTGTCGTCAGTTTGGTTTATCCAACTCTCTACGATGTTTTACCGCTGGCCAAGAGTTCCAGGGATGACATGCCCCTCTATCCTAATACTACTGTTGTCTCTTCCACGGTGTTACCCAGGCCACCAGATGTTTTAAACGATCCGCCTGTTAAGATCATTCTTCAGAACAGAGGGGTATTACATTTTATACCTGTCTTAGTTTTTGGTCGATTATTAACATGCGTTAATTCCACTCAGTCTTAATCCTGAAAATGCAAATCCGAATAGTCGTTATTAGTGTGACCATTATGTTTTTTGTACTCTACGATCTCTACAGGGCTATCATTATTGTCTATAGCCTCGACGCTGGGGTCAGATCTGTTCGTCTGGATCAATTTGGACAGGCCCTATAATAGCTTGAAACAATGTGCACTGGACGTCTCAAAGCAGCCGATCCATCCGCTGTTGTAAATCATTAACTTTTAAGAATGCGAACGATTCTATTGTTTTTGGAAAAATATTTTTTTAAGGTAAATCCACCCTCCTTTTTTCGTCTTTTAAATTCACTGGCAAGCTTTTTAAGTGCCTTTGAAGTTTTACTTTTAACCCGGTAGCTATTTCCATGACTTACATGCAGTTTACCCGTAACTGGTGATATTAGATAAAGCTCTGGATGCTAACTGAATTATTTTAGTTCCTATAAATTTTAAACATACTTATTTAGACAATTTTTTCCCGGAAATTTTTAAAGGATAATGCCCCAGCTGATGCGACACCCAACGCAAGGTGCGTATTTTGGCGGCCCGGAGAAGACCCATTTTGGCAAACCAGTGGTTGCAGACTTGTCCCCAGTGAGTCCGATAATGTTTTGACAACATGTGAATGTGATCACCTGACCATCTTTGCAGCTCTTATGGATCCATTCGACTCATCTGTAAGTCGTATAAACCTCACTACTGGTAGTGTTTTTTTTTCGTATCTGATTCGATAAAATGCCATTTTAAATAATTAACCGAACGTCAGTCACTAAGTTGTAAAGACATCATAATTTTCATGTTACTTCATATGATACAAATTTTAACCTTTATGTATTCCTGTTTTCCTGTAAAAAGAGTTCATGCACAAACAGCAAAGTTGGCTGCACACATTTTAAACAGCCAGTTAATTGAGGGGAGGAGTAAGACCTTCGCCAAACATTATTATCATATTATGTTCAGGCCCGATTGAGATGTGGGAGAAAACGTTCGATCACGCTAAGGTTCAGTCATGAGGATTTATTTATTTTTTTTTCTGATTGATCGAAAGATATTACAAAACATGACGGAAGCCATATTGATGATCATGACATAGAAGGATGTGGATAAGGCCGTCGCAATTACTGTCAACGTTAAACAAAAACACTTAATTAAATCCCCAGATTGGTGAAGCTGACAAGAAAGCGTTAGAAATCATCTCAATAGTAGGATGTACCATCTCTCTTCTTGCTGTTCTCATTACCATTGCTGTTACATTGTACTTCTGGCGAGTGGTGAAGAGTCCAAGGGCTAAAGTCCTGCTTAACGTGTGTGCTGCACTTGCTTTGTCCTGTATATTCGTTATAGTTGAAGGATCTGCGAGAGACAGTAAGGTAAGGTCCATATTCGTTCTCTGCTAAACTCTTTACGAAGGCCAGCCCTGCTTAGTGTTTAGTTCTCAAATTGATAAGATTCAGTGGTTAGGTTGGTGTTTTTTATAGAAGAGGATCAGATAAGAGAAGCTTAGCTAGTTTAGCTTTGCTTCTATTTCTTGAAACTCATTGTTAACCTGTTACTATTTTCTATCCATCGTAAATTATCTTGAAGAAGCGAAAGAGTGAGTAATCATCGCGTGTCCCGCAGTTTAGCTGCAGTTAAGTGGCCCAAAGTCATTTCAAGTTTAGAAACTAAACTATGTCACACTGGTTTATTCTTTATTTCCCGATGCATATTCCCTCATTAAACTCAGAACTGCAACTCACTCTACTATTTTAAAAATTCCCTTTCCTCAACTGAAAAACACTTATCAGGTTTGCTCTGGGCATTTCGCTTACGGCATACCTATTCGTAAGGGGAACTAAGTTATGGGAGAAAACCGCTTAGGAAGTCTACTTTTTAGGAAAAAAGTTTTATGGCTCGCCGATAAAGCCTTCCGAATTATTTTGCTTCAAAGAAAATAAATTTTGCTGCGTTTAGTATTTTTTCTTAGCCGCAAATGCGACAGCTATACGCGTATGATGCAAATGAAACCACCCAAAGATTCCCGAAGATTGTTTGAAGACGGGATGAGCGCAGGACTCACAAACATGGACACGGCTTGTGGATTCTCTGTTCTGTATCACGTGTTCGCTCGAAAACAATGCATTCTCTGTTTTGCATTACGTCATAAAAGTTACCTTACACTAACTTATGTTACATCGATTCCGCGAGATTCATTCTGCCATGGAACTTTCGCGCACGGCTTTATTAGGCTGCAGCCTTGCAGCCAAGACACGAGGCTGCTCATTGGTAATTAGGCAATTTCCAGTTTTTTAGTAGTCGTGCAAAACGGCGGAGAAATGTACAAGAAAGTGTGTTCCACATGCGAAGTTGTTGCTTTGCCTTCTAAACCTATTGTTTCTTTGATCGTAAAAGTCCCTAATAACTCGCAGGTCCGATACTACGGCATTCGAAATAGTTTCCTTTTTCTGGCGTAACGGGCTCTTTTCAGACGGACAAAAAGTGGGAAAACGATATGTTTTTTCTTTTAACCTGAGCCTGTGAGTTTTCCAATGTATTCGGTTTTGTGATAATCTTAAGGGAACTGTTCTTTTTTTTATGCACGTGAATAGGTTTTCCTGAGATGACAAACGCAGACAAAAAAAGGTCGATTGAACTGCAACTTCTTTGACAAGAAAGAGCATAATATAAATCTTTTATTTTCTGTGGTCTTATTTTCAGGCTGGTTGTACTGTGGTAGCAGTGTTTCTACATTATTTCTTACTAGCCTTATTTTCCTGGATGCTGTGTGAGGGTGTGTTACTCTACATTTTACTCGTGAAAGTATTTGGAGGTGGAGCTGAAGAAAAAGTCAAGTATTTCTATATTTTTGGATGGGGTAGGTAAAGTAAATTCAGTTTCCATCAGCAGTCCTTGTTTCCCATCACAGATCTAAGAACATAACACAGCAAGCTATTGGACTCGACTATGTTATTTAGCTGAAATGATTTTTTGATATTTTGGTGTCCTTATCAAGAGACATTTTTCCAGAAAAAAGTGGATTAAACCGTTAAATCGTTTACTTAACATCTACTAGACAATCAAGGGTGACCGCCTTTGCGCCACCACAATGACCGCTGACCGACAATAAGAGACGGCGTTCCTTACTGTTAACTCTGTTAAGTTTCATTTAACACCTTTATATACAAAGTTCTTGTAAATAAAGTTACATCTTAGAGCTCTAAACCTGCCACTCCATTTGCTTAATTTGCAAACGCAGATGTGCATGAGCCAATCCACTTTTTTACAGTCAAAACTTAGATGCAAAAAAGAGTCATGATGTCACTCATTCGTAAAGTCAAATTCGTTTAGCCTGCAGGAAGCTCTTGAGTTGAATTGTGCTCTTTTCATTATAACGGAGGACCATACCTACCGACTACAACCTTGAGGTCTAGCTTTCGGTCTTTATCTACAGATGCCATATAACAATGAATGAAAGAATGAAAGTTTGTACATGAACTGTTGAAGGTTTTCAAATCATTGCAGAGCCTCTTGAGGTTACTTTTTCCTAACTGTAGCTATAGCACAGTCGACTCTCTCTTAATGAACACCTTTATAAGACGCACACGTCTGTAAAAAGAACGCCTAGAGTTAGTCCCTGCCTTTCGTTACTCCCTTTATTTCATTTTCTATTAGACGGACATCTCTCTAAGACGGACACTTACTACCAGTCTCAAAAGTGTCGACGTATTCTTTGACTATTTTTTTCCATCATTCGCTCTGCCAAGTGGCCTTAATTTATGCTGAGTTTCCAAGTAATATTCCATGCAGTTCACCTAAAATGACCACGATTAATGTAACTGGGGAAAATGGTCTTACTTTGTCTTATTTTGATTCTTATACCTCTGTAGGTTTCCCAGCGCTTATAGTGGTTATTTCATTGGCGGCTACTCAGGCTGACGGGTACGGAACCTCGGAAGCGTGTTGGCTTGATGTCCCCAGTGGTCTGATCTGGGCATTTATTGCTCCTGCAGTAATAATTATTTTAGTAAGTTAATTTTTATTTTCAACAGAAGATAGATTCTAAACGATATAATAACAACTGCAAAACAGCTGTTATTAATACATGTACATACACAACTTAGGCGAGGACCAAGCGTCGAACTATACATGAGAAGAGCCACTTGTAGCCTGCAAATACAGCCATCCCTCCGTGCTCCCTCCAGGAGCGAGGAGACTGGAGACGGCTGTATAAAGTAGACGCTTTTAGTTAAAACTAAGCGTCGGACTAAGTTCAAAAGAAAAAATATGGTGCGGAACAAGCTATAATTGTTCCGTGGAACCCCACTTTGCGAAAACGCGTTTAAAACGGCAGTCTTATGATTTATTGATCTAAAGCTTTGCATTTTATAGTTTGAAATAGACTGACAAGCTTGTCTATCCACAGATTAACATCGTAGTGTTTGTTTTGGTGATTCGACAAATGATGGGAACCCGACACGTGCAAAACAAGACGCAAGTCGAAAAAGTTAAAGCAGGGCTGAAGGCCACGGCGGTCATCCTTCCCTTGCTTGGTATCACTTGGTTATTCGGACTTCTTACCTTTAGTTCATCAACTGTCGCATTCAAGTACATGTTTGCCATCTTCAATTCACTTCAAGGATTGATGATATTTATATTTCATTGTCTTCTTAACAAACAGGTAAGAAGACGTAAAGATTTTTTAGAGTCCATGAGCTGCAATTTAAGTATCGCTTAGGGATATTTCGGCCCACTTTAAAGTTTTGGTAATTCGTAACGGGACACCAAAGGAAAAAAATCCCTCGTCATAAATACAGCCCGATTGCTTTCATTTGGATCTTTGCTACAGTGTATTAGATGTTTATTGTGATTTGATTTTTACACCTCAGTGACTTAAAATTAGGTAATCGACAAAAATTTTCCTTTCCAACCGGCTAGAAATGACGTCAAAAACTCATGTGCAACCACGAGACGCAGACTGGTGATTTCATTGGAAGTCTGCTCTCTTATCGACCCGAGCTCTCGACTGATCAACGCTTGAGAAATCGCTCAGTTGTTGTAAAACATTGTACAAAACCACCCCTGCATGATAGACTTCTTCAGGTAGTTCTTCACAGTAGTTTTGACGGCACTGTTTTGATCGTTTGGGCACTCAAACCTTTGATTCTTGGGAATCTTTAAAAGCCACTAATGCTGTATTCCTCCCTCCTTTGCACGTTTTGGATGGAAGCCGCCCAGTGCTATTTTTTGGGTAAGACGAATAACTGGGCCATTACAATTGTACAGAACAAGAGAAGATGTATTTTGTGCTTTTTTGTTTCACCAGATAAAGGATGCCATAAAAAGAATACGAGACAAAACGAGCTCTGGTGTCGTGTCATCGACACCTAAAACCAAGCCTTCTCCCATCTTGCCATCGAAGCAAGTCATTCAGCCTGGAAAAGGTGTTTTGTCGTCTGTTTGTGATATTGTAACCTATTTTTCATTCATAATATTTTCCGTTTATTATTGGCTCAAATCCACCGACTTATTCTTCAAAACCATAAGATGAATTCTTCTTTTTAGTTTTTCAAATAAATACTTATTTTATTAAATGTATTCAAGTACTTTGGGTGAAAAACTAAGTTTCCCTCCTTTAATTTTGTTTCAGTACCAAAGAAGCGATCAAACCGAGCTCAAAATGATTATGAAATGATGGAGTCTCTTCCTCGTGACAGCGTTTCCGAGCTACCTTCCGGCTCAGTGGCAGAAAAAAACGTTATAGTTAATATACCGAGCGAACAGCAACCTGAGGCCAAAACGCATCTTAGAGACGCAACGAAAAATCTGTATGATTTGCCGGATAAGGGCGAAGAAATCGTTCCAGTTAACAGCACAGAGGAGAAAAGCGCCCCGAGCGTCTTTATACCACCAAACGATGAGACAATATTACCCAGTAATGATGAACCTACTTCTCTATCAGTCTCTGAGGAGAGTAGTGCCGACGGGAAAGACGTCCATGAATCCTTAATGCGTAAAACAGAAGGCGCAAATACGAATGAGCAACCGCTTGAAAATCATGAAAAGAGGTTGTCATTACAAGGATATGCAAATGACATTTTTGCCAAAACTCCTCCAAAAGCAGAGGAAATTCTAGGGAGAGAAGAAGGTCGTTTAACTCCGAAAGAAAGCTTGTCTTCCTCATCATTAAATACGGAGGAGGAAAATGGAGAATTGTCAGCGGAAGTAAATTCAGGGATTAGTCCTGTTGAAGTCAGTTGTATTATGGACGAAGGACCTCTAGAGGGAGCTCTACCCTCAACCTTCTCAGAAGAGACAACATCACGGATAGGTGCAAAGGTAAAGTACCACCAATCTTGTCCTAGTCCTTAAAATTCTGCTTATGTTTTAGAAATTAAAATTGGCACATATCGTCAAGACTAGGAGGGCATCCTAGCCGAGAAAGACATCGTGCACATTGCAAAAGAAAAGTCATTGTAATAAGTTAAAAGAGTTGTTCGCAATGGCTCAGAAAATGTCATTTAGGCAACGGAAGCCCTACAGTCTGTCTTTGTATTTGCAATAAGGTTTAGTTAAGGAATTTTAACTCGTAAAGACGGGAATAACGTTCGTTAGAAGCTATTATACCATCTAGGTAGAACATTGAAATAATCGATAAAAAAAATAAATGTCTTTGCACTAAAAATGTACATGGTTTCTGTTGCGACAGAGAGTAGATCCAAGAGAGGTTAAAGATGAGGTCAACAATGACGAGGATTTTGAGGTAATATATCGAAATAAGAATTAATTTAAACACTCTATATCCTTCTCTTGGGAATTCAGTGACTTTTTTTTCAAGCTACCGCAATACTGAACATTCTGCACCCGTAAGATAAAGGGTTTTCTAAGGGCTTGTTTACATGAAGGTGGGGGACCCCGGGTAGCTGAGGTAACCTGCTTAGGTGGGGTAACCCGCCTGTCCATATAATCTCTCATTTTAATTTGCTCATGTTTACATGATAGGTGGGGTGACCCGCCTCATGTTACCTCACCTATCTGGGGTCCCCACCTCCATGTAAACGGGCACTAAGAAACCTCGTTTACACCTACTTATAACTATCGGGATTCACTTTTAAATTTTAATAATTGAAACAACATTTACAACGTGTCAAGTTCAAACGTGCGTGCAACGCCTATATCTTCTTACTTTGAGGTGAAATTGCTACATTCTTTGACATCTTTTGAACTACATAATCAATTTATTTATATATTTTCATATAAATTTTCAGATAAAAATGAGAGAAAGGCGGAAGAAGGTAGATGCGGTTACTAAAGCAGCTGAAGCATTTACGTCATCACAAAAAAAAGTCAAACCACCAAAAAGTGTAAGTAAACTGTTAGTTTTGTTGTCGCAGAATTGAATAAAACATTTTACGAGATTTCGGTAGCAATGAGCTTCTGCAGCTACCTTTTTTTGGTGCGTTTTACACAGTTTGATGTGTTTTACAAAGAGAGCTAGGGTATAACTGCATCAGAGTCCAACCTGATTCATTTTCTCTTTTGTCTGTTTCTTTATCTAACTATGTCGTCTCTGTTGGTTTTTAACTGACAGCCGACGTCAGGACAGCATCGTTGGGAAAAAATTCGTCAAAAGATGTTCAGAAGAAGCTACAAGGTAGAACACCCCGGTGATACAAGTGGCAAACCATCCCAGAGCCATAATCCTGATGATGTCCCGGATGTGGAATTCGCTTGAAGTGAGCTTTATCTTCAGATATCTTTAGTCCACTAAGCTTGTTTGATGACGAAGGCTGAAAGGAAAAAGGGAGGGAATCCTGGAACCTCTTTGTGTTGCCGTATCTTCTGATTCCTGGTCACGGGCTGTTTGCGCATTTTGGCATGCCTGTTTAATTAATCGCAGTTTATTTGAATCGACAATCGTTCAAAGTGCCCATTGTCAGCTAAAAGGCGTTGAAACGCTGCACGTTTAGTTTTTTGTTTAATTGCCGTTGTTCAGTCATAAAATCTGCTACTTACTAGAGTGATTTTTTTTTCCAATCCAAGAATAAGTCCGTATTTTGATATTCCTGGTTAAACATGTTTTGTTGGTGTTGATTGGGCTGAGATAACGGTGTTAGTGTCATGCACTCTTAACCTCCCGTTACCGGC